TATTATATATATAATATATATATATATATATTATATATATATAATATATATATATATATAAAGAAGATATTTATACTATGATTGACTTAAATAATATTTTCCACTCTAAGCTAAACATGCTAAAATTTCATTCCTTTCATTAAAATTCTAAGTCAAGACGTTAGTAAAGTATACTAATTTGAAAATTATTTCTTAAAAAAATTATTTAGAGTTATCATAAAAGGTGAACTTTTGTATAAAACCAACTAAGGATTAGAAAAGTTAAAATTTATCAAATAGATCAAGTATTAATTAACACTAGTAAGTTGGCAAGTGACAATACTTTTATGAAAAAGAAAAAACATATGATATAAAGAGGAAAATGGTAAAATAAAGAGGAAAAATAACTAGTCTCTACCCCCACACCTAAATTTTGCCTTGTCCTTAATACAAACTCCATGGTGCATAAAGTAAAGCAAATAAGAAATGAAGCACTTATGTTTGTTCGATCGACATAGAACAATGAAGAAAAAATAAAAAACTGTAATTACCATCTATATGAGGAGGAGGATGTCAAAATTTTTTGTCTTTGTTTTATTTTTTTACTTGTTTTTTTTCATTTTTTACTTTTTTTAAAGAACAAGAAACTCTCAAATGTGTGAAGAATAATTTATTATTATTATTATATATGAGACAAAAAGTAAAGATGTAGAATAATAAATTAAAAATAAAAAGTGAATATTCTACGTCCAATCCTACCTTATTGCTAAAAATTCTACCTTAGATTTTGAAAAAAATATAGAATGATGAATTCAAAAGTATTCTTAAACTAATTTGTATACTCCAAAGTTTTTAATAATTTCTACATCAATTAAATTTAGGTCTCAGATTTAAATTGAGATTTCTTATTAATGAAAGTTTGTCCTAACACAACCAATTATTTTTTTAAAATTTTCTCAAACTCAAAATTCATGGTTGAAGTATGAAAATTTAGTTATTTATTTACTAGGAAACTAAAAATTCTTCAAAACTAAGATTAGAAAATTTTGGATCCGCCTCCATGAAAACTAGTTATAATCCAAACTTTTTCAGTATCTTAATTTTATCACCAAAAATCTTCTTAAAACTTGAGTCTGACTCATTCTCTTCTTTGGGATATTATATTTCTTGAAGAACGGGTGGATTAGGGTTTTCCATTAGTTTAGTCTCAAAAATTGGTTCAACACAGATTAAGCGAGCGATATTATCCATAAACCAAACTTGTATACACCAAAAGAAATTCCTTTTTCCTCTTTTTTTTCTTTTTTTTCAACTAAAAAGGGAATAAGGAAAAAAGTCTTTAAAAAAACAAAAGTTAGTTTTCTTTTTTTTTAAGACCTTAAAGATTAATGAAAGAAGAAAAGAGAGATAAAAGAAAAACTTAGCTAAAATAAATCAAAAGCAACTATTTTAAAATAATCACTCTTATTTCTAGGGTTAAGCCTAGACTCAACTAGATCAACTCCTAACTAAAAACTCATTAAGTGGAAAGATTGAAGTTTACTCCGTTAGTTAGCCAAGTAAGGATAGTACTAGAGGGAGGCCAAAGTCCAATTAAGCACCTCTTTCCTTACGGAGCACTTTACGCAACTCCTAAACCTTACCTTAAAAGCCAAATGATTCGAGTAAACTTAAACCAGTACACTTAAGAATTTCTTATTCCTCAATTGAGCTCGAATACTCAGGGGCCAATGTCTAATGAGTTTTAAAAGTTTTCAATTTGTGCAGTGAGGAATTAATAATCGTTAGGCTAAGGAAAGGGTGATGAAATCCCTCACCTCAGAGAGTGTTGCCCTTAAGAGTATTTTTAAGTGTGTGTCAAACCAAGATGCTCAAATCACTTAGGTAAATTCCTACTAACTATGTGCAATGCAACCCTAGAAATTAAAAACAACTACAAAAGATGCGAAAGGGAAAATATTTTTATTTTAAAATTAGTGTCAGCAAACAAGCAAACAAATGTGAGAGAAAGAGCTTTTGTTTCGATTTATTATCTTGTTAGCAGTTATTTAAATGGTGGGTGGACTTCATTATTAGGGTCGACAAAAAAATGTTTTGTTTTTATTAGCTCCTAATTGTCTCTAATGTGAAAAGCCTAACTAGAATGGGGAATTAAAATACAAGAAATATTCTCAATTAATAGCATATAATACACATTTATTTAATATATTGGCCCATATATGTGATTTAAATCCAAGAAATGTATCTACTAGAGTGGCTCTATATATTTATAGTTAGACAGATTTTTGTAAGCTTCCAGGTGAACCCGGAATATGTCCGTACTTTATATTGATATTGGCAATGAAAATTCAGTTCACTCACTTAAAAAAATGAACCTTTTAATGTTAAAAAATGTTGGAGCTCCTGAAGATGCATGAAAGAAAGAAGATAGTTTTCCACAAAATGGACCTTTTAGGAAAATGAAATATGTTTTGTGCCATAATTTTCTAGACTTCCTATGAATGAGGCATGTAATGAAGCCACAATGAAGAATTTCCTGGAGTTACGAAGGGAGCTTTTCAGATTAATGGATTGAGAATGGAAGCTGTAGCTTTATGAGGTTGAATTTCTAGTTGTTCTTTGTTAGCTTACTAGCTTAGTGGTCGACTGTTAACTGACAATATTCTTTTTCTTTAGAGAAATGATAGAGGCACACCCTCAGGCACACCTCTGGTGACACCCCCTCTATTTATAGTGCAGAGGGCCCCACTTGAGATTTTTTAAAAAATCTCAAATTGGGCCCCCTGCACTGTAACTAGGGGGGTGTGTGGCCGAAGGTGTCACTACCACAAAATAGATATATGGGGACGGTTATTTGGGGACGGTTCAAAACCGTCTCCTTTGCCACCTAAGCGAACGGTTGTGTGACGGTTACAATCGTCGCGAAAAAGTCTAAGGCAACAGTTCAAAATAAAGTGTTGGGCTTGAATTAGGCTAGAAAAAAAAAACTTTGGTAGGCTAATGGGACGGTTTTATTAAGGGCTCGCGCGCAAACTTTTTCAAGAAAATATATTTCTTTCTCAGAACCGCTCCTCACCGATAACCCGCCGTCCGTCGTCCGCCACTCCTCTCCTCTCGTCGACTCCCTCGTCCGCCGCTCTCGTTTTTCCTCTCTTCGACGCCTCCTTCCGCCGCCGGCGACCTTGAATTCATCAGTTCGCCGCGCCTCCCACCTTAGCCGCGCCTCTCGTCGCTATCCCCTCTCTATCATCTTGTGATTTGGGGTATATCTCTCTCCTTTTCAGTCATCAAACCTAGGGTTTCAAATTTTTTTCTTTTTCTCTATTTAATGATAATTTTATTTGATTTTAGGCAGCTAATTATAGAAAGAATGGAGTATATGAAAACAATTTAAGAAATAGCTATCAGGATTATAAGATACGTGCTTGATTCTTGAAATTTGTTTTTTTTCTTTCTTTTGCACTGAAAGCTATTAGGCCATGACAATTCCTGGTAAATTATAGTAAATTATAATTTTGATAATTCTTATAGTAAATTTTGATGTAGATACTCGTTAACATTTTCAGTAGACTTTTCTTGTTTCTGGGAGACTGGGACAATATTACAGGCTTAAATTTAGGAATTTGATCTTTTGCTTGTTTAGTTTAATCAGATGTGTTAGTCCATTATTTGTCAACATGCATACAAATCATGTGTACATAATTGGTGGATAATCCTAGGTGCATATGTTGATACTAAGCACGCAAGTACCATGCTGATCAAGCATATTCCCTACATACCAGTCAAAGAAATATAGATAGTATTTATATGTACCACAAACCAAAGCGTAATGAAAGAGAGCTCATTGAACCAATTTACTTATTACGGTATTATTACTTTCTTTTAATTCTTGGATCATTTGTGAATCAGAACTGCACCATGAATTATGATGCACGAATTGCATTATACTTGTGAGATATGTCTCCTTGATTTTTTTTCCTATTTATTAACTGGTTATTAGAGGATTATGAATCAGACATAAGCTCCATGCATGCCCAAGTTGTACCCAAAATACGCTTTTATTTGGGATAGTATATGCTTATTTCGATTTGTGAATCAGAACTGCACCATGAAATATGATGCACGAATTGCATTATACTTGTGAGATATGTCTTCTTGATTTTTTTCCTATTTATTAACTGGTTATTAGAGGATTATGAATCAGACATAAGCTCCATGCACGCCCAAGTTGTACCCAAAATATGCTTTTATTTGGGATAGTATATGCTCAGTTCTTGGGGATGGGGTGCTATCATCATGTGACAGGGTCATTGTCAAAACCACTGTCCAAAAATTATTCTGCATATTTGGGATATAAACATGTTTTAGTTTATGTATACTACAATTAAACAAATATTTATGCTTTAGAGAGACTAGTCCTATAAAATAACTTGCAAACTCTATAATGATAAGTTTCAGTTCTCTAAACAAAATATGACACTAATAAATATTTATTTATTTTAGATATAAACATATTTTAGTTTATGTATGCTACTCTTAAACAAATAGTTATGCTTGAGAGAGACTAGTCTTATAAAATAGCATGCAAACTCTTTAGTTGATGAATTTTTATACATTATAAGTAAGTAGATATATATTATTGATGTCTCAATATATTTACTTTTCTCTAGCAGATACAAATTATGGATAGAGATAGAGGTTGGATGTATAATATTTCTCGAGTAAGTGCCGAGTACATTGAAAAAGTGAATGACTTTCTTGATAAAGCATTTGCAAAAGCAGCTAAAGGGAATGAAATATGTTGTCCTTGTCGTGGTTGTTTTAATCGTTGTTGGCATCAGCGAAATACTGTCTACAATCACTTGATTGTCAAGGGATTTATAGATAATTATTACAAATGGGTTTTCCATGGTGAGGATTTGCCATCAAGATTGAACGTCCATAGCGAGAGTGATGATGATGATGCACATACTCATGATGATGTAGACGGATTACTACATGATATTTTTAGAGGCAGATAACGATGAAGAAGGCATAAAGGAAGGCACAGAGGAATTGACCGAGGATGCTAAGAAATTTTATAAGTTAGTGGAAGAAGGCCAACAAGAGTTATTCCCAGGATGCAAAACTTTTTCCAAACTCTCTTTCATAATTCGATTATATCTGCATAAGTGCATACATGGACTAAGCAATGAGGCATTTGATGATTCTCTGACCTTGTGGAGGGAAGCAATTCCAGACATAAAGTTGCCAAAGTCTTTTTATGAAGCCAAAAGGATTGTCAAGGACTTGGGTCTCGATTATGAAAAAATACATGCGTGTTCTAACGATTGCATGTTATTCTATGGAAATGTAAATGGGAAACTGAATGAGTGTAGTAGTTGTGGTGCTTCTCGGTGGAAGCCAAAGAAGGATGATGTAGCAAATGACTCCAATCAACTAACTAAAAAGGTGCATAATGTTCCAGTAAAGGTTTTGAGGTACTTTCCTTTAAAACCTAGACTTCAAAGGCTATTTATGTGTTCTCAAACTGCTAAATCTATGAGTTGGCATTCTAAGGAGCGATCGAGGATGATATTCTAAGGCATCCGGCTGATGGCAAAGCTTGAAAAGACTTTGATGAAAAGCATCCAGAGTTCGCATTAGATGCTCGTAATGTGAGATTAGGGCTTGCTAGTGATGGATTTAACCCCTTTCGAACAATGAGTATTGCGCATAGTACATGGCCAGTTATCTTAATCAATTATAATTTACCGCCATGGATGTGCTTGAAGGCGGAATATTTCATGCTATCTCTACTTATTCCTGGTCCTCAATCCCCTGGCAACAACATTGACATATACTTGCAGCCACTGATTGATGAATTGAAAGAGTTGTGGGAAGTTGGATTGCTTACATATGATGCTTCTATCAAACAATCATTTAAATTGCGTGTAGCTTTGCTTTGGACAGTTAGTGACTTTCCAGGATACGCAATGTTGTTCGGATGGAGTACTAAAGGTAGGTTGGCTTGTCCTTATTGCAATTATAATACATGCTCTGAGTATTTAAAATATAGCAAGAAGATGTGTTATATGGGTCATCGCAGATTTTTAAAAGATGACCACCCATGGCGATTTAATAAAAGATCGTTTAATGGTGACATTGAGCTTGGAAGAGAACCGATATCATTGTCTGGGACTGAAATTATAGATGAATTATCTGATTTTGTCAATGAATTTGGAAAAAAGCAAAAGAAAAGAGCAAATAGAAATTGTCCGTGGAAGAAAAGGTCGGTATTTTTTGATTTACCTTATTGGGAGCATAATAGATGTCGTCACATGCTAGATTTAATGCATATTGAGAAGAATGTTTGTGATAATATTGTTGGCACATTGTTAGATATTCCAGGGGTCAGTATTTTTTGATTTACCTTATTGGGAGCATAATAGATGTCGTCACATGCTAGATTTAATGCATATTGAGAAGAATGTTTGTGACAATATTGTTGGCACATTGTTAGACATTCCAGGAAAGACGAAGGATCATGTTAAAGCTCGCTTTGACTTACAAAAAATGGGCATAAGACGAGATCTTCATCCTGTGCAGTCGGCTGATGGTCGTCGTGTTACATTTGCGAAAGCTTGCTTTTCTATGACATCACAGGAAAAAGAAATGTTTTGCAAAGTGTTGGCAGATGCAAAAGTGCCTCATGGTTGTGCATCAAATATCTCAAGATGTGTAAATGTGAGGGAGAAGAAAATATCTGGGTATAAGACTCATGATGCTCATTTTCTCATGCAATATTTACTTCAAGTTGCATTAAGAAGAAGTTTGCCTAGGAGTGTTGCTATTCCTCTCATCAGATTAGGTGCTTTCTTCAAGGGTTTATGCAGCAAAGTTCTCAAGCCAGTTGAACTTAAATCCTTGCAGTCTGAGATCGTAGAGATACTTTGTCAACTTGAGAAAATATTTCCACCAAGTTTCTTTGACATCATGGTTCATCTTCCTGTTCATTTAGTTCAACAAATTTTGGATTGTGGGCCAGTCAACTACTTCTGGATGTACCCAACAGAGAGATATCTTTGTAGATTAAAGTCATATGTGCGTAATAGAAGTGCTCCTGAAGGTTCCATAGCAGAAGGATATTTAGCTGAAGAGTCCCTAACTTTTTGCTCATTATATATGCATGATGGTGTCAAGACAAGATTTAATAGATACACAAGTATGTATGAGAGAGTTGATGTTGCAGAAGAGACATCGCCAATTTTTCCTAAGATTGGTCATCCATTGGGAGGAAAGAGGAAAAGAAAGGGCAAAGCATTTACATTAGATAATGTTGACTGGGTTAATGCACATCGATATGCCTTGTACAATTGTCATAACAATGAAGTTGATAATTATATTAGGTATGATTCATTACTTAATTATTACTTCTTATTTAATGTTGTTGTCCATATTTCACTTTATAGACCTATGTATTTTGTATTGTTATGCAGTGAACATAAACTTTTGATTGAGAACCAGTCAAGAAAAAGAGGCAGAACAAATAAATGGACGGGAGCTCAAAAGCACAGCAAGGACTTCACTGACTAGTTTAAAATTAGTGTATCTGAGTTGGAATCAGCGCCTGATTATCTAAAATGGTTATCAATGGGTCCTAATTTTGTAGCAAAAAAATACAGAGGCTATTATGTGAATGGTTGTACTTTCCACATCAAGGCGCGTGATGAAACATGCAAAACTCAGAATAGTGGTGTGTCTGTAACCAGTCAAGTAGACAGTTATGCAAGTTCAAAGGACCATAATCCTAAAACTGGAAATGTTACTTTTTATGGCGTCATACAAGATATCATTGAAATAGACTATTGGGGCAAATTTAGTGTTGTGCTTTTCAAATGTGACTGGTTTCATTCAGAAGAAGATGAATATGGCCTTATCCGCGTCAATTTCAATAACAAAGGCCATATAAATGACCCTTTTGTCATGGCATGCCAAGTTCATCAAGTTTTCTATGTGAAGGATCCTGTTGAAGAGGCAAACAAGAATTGGCATTATGTTTTAAAGAAGCTTCCTAGTCATGTTTATGATATTGGTGCTACACATGGAGGTGATTATTGGGTTGAAAAAGTAGTGACATTGTCAGTGATTTAATCCCAACTAGTAATGATGACATAGATGATGTGGGTTGGTGTAGAGATGATGTGCCGAGGTCCACTGCTGACATTCCTCCAAATATATATATTGATGATGATAATATAATGGAAGGTGATGAAGACAGTGACTTTGATGAAACAGAGTGGGATTGGATGGAGTAAAGATATGGGAATTTCTGTATGTTTTGAAAGAAATGAGTTTTGAAATTTATGTTTTGAGTATATGGGTTGAGTAGACTTTGTCATTTTCTTTTTTGATTTGAGTATGAATTAGTAGTTTAAAGAACACAGTTTTTTTGCAAGATTACAGGTTATGATTTTGTAACTAACAATCATATTTGAAGGATTAACCTATTCAAAATCCATGCACCGTCAACGTTTTTTGGATTCATCGTTAATCAGCAATAATGGTATGCTTTGTTTTGTTTGATGCCACTGTTCAGTGCAGAAATCAGTGTTTGTCTTCTGTCACTTTTGACTTGAGTTGGTCAAAAATCACTCCGGTAAATACCTTAAGTACAGGAAAATACTATCTTACATTAAGAAAGTTACGGATAGTTTCTCTATAATATTTGTCACTGTATCTTACATTAAGAAAGATTAAGGACTAACAGAACATGTTTCTTCAGATTCTGCGTTATACTCAATGCTATGTGATTTGAAAAAACTGAGGAATATATCAACGACCAACAGTAGGAAACATCGGCATTACTCAATGCTATGTGATTTGAAAAAACTGAGGAATATATCAACGACCAACAGTAGGAAACATCGGCATGGGGAAATCTATTTAGTACTTGATCATCCAAAAATGCATTTCAGACAAAGGGAGAACTAACATAAAGACTACTGTACAAACTACATATAATTACAACTGTTATAATGAAAGAAAACATATTTGGGCTACTTTCCTGCAGCTATTATGAATGATTGTCAACGGATAAACTTATTTTTAATATTAAGACAAGTTGCCCGATGTTGTTATTTTCCTGATTCTGTAAGTCACATTTATTTACACATCTTGGGTGGGATACCCTTAAAGATTTTCATAATCTGGTGTTAGTTGCTTTCTGCTGATTCAATACTCATGACTGTAAATAGAAATATCATTGTCTTTGATTTTCATGGAGAAAAGGAAGTAATGAATATTAGTAATTTAATTGACATGTCTTAGGCATAAAAGAAGAGCCAACTACCGAAAGCTAACTGGTTTTTCATGTTGTTTTAACATTGTACTTAACTGGTAAGATTTCTTTCGTAACAAAGTAGTTAGTTTTTGTGAATACTTCGTAATGGAAGTGCCATGAAGGCTCCGAACCAGAAATCGTCCAATACAGTTTCCATGGAAAATTTGATCATTAAGAATGGAGGGTTGATGGAGTAGTGATCAGCTGTTCAGTAAGTAGTTTGAACCATGACAGAGATGTTTGCAAACCGTAATGTGATGGAGGACAAGGTGGGGGTTTATTTTCACTGTAGACGAGATATATTCAGCCTCAAGTGGTAGGCCATACCTTCAATAATTGTGATTGACATGGGGGTTGTGGAGAGTGCTAAGTTAGTTTCACTAATGATAGTATGCTGCTATGGTTGTTTTGGATTTCTGTGGGGCCTAGATTTAATGACGATGGTATCAGCGCAGAAGGAAATAGACCTGGCACTTGGAAAGCCTCTGTGGGGCCTAGATTTAATGACGATGGTATCAGCGCAGAAGGAAATAGACCTGGCACTTGGAAAGCCGAAAACACTTCATGCAAGTGGATTAGTGCATCTGAAAATGGTGTGGCTTCTTGAAATGATGGTAATATTTTTTGATGTTACAATTATTCTATTTGTTCATCTTTTCTTGTAACTAAATAACAGATGGAATTTTGGTATACTACTGTACAAACTACATAAAGACTAATGTACAAACTACATATAATTACAGTTGTTGATTAAGAATTGCTACATCGTAAGTTTCAAGTTAATCTTTCTTTATTTGCCCATTTACACCATTGTTTAATGTCTGTTCTGTTCTTCTTAAGACTTTTGATGGAATGGATTACGGATTATCCTCTAACGTATCTTTTGTCCTTGGAGTTACCAGGGAACAAACAAAAAAAACATGGAAGCAGAAAAAAATTCTGTGTCAACCTCTTCAAAACTGAAGAGATCATTTGAGGTAAGTTGGGTTGATTTTTAATTGTATATTCTAAGTTTCTTTCTCTAACTGTATTAATTTTACTTTTCCTTGTTTGTAGGTTACGAGCGCAGAATGTGGACGTGGTGACAAAAAGAAGCAAAACAGGATCTTTTATCCTCCGAAACAGATTACAAATGTGGCAACGACATGTCCACAAGTGCGCCCAAAAGAACATAATCGGGTAAATAATATGGATAGTATGAGAAAGCATGCGCCCAATATATGTGAACCACCTGCTAGAAATATTGCAATACAAAGAAAAGAGTTAGAGGTGCAGACAAAGAAGAAAATGATCCGTATGAGACAATCAAGAGAGGAGAAAATGTTGGATGAAATAGAAAATGCGGAGCGAGATATTCGGAAAAAAATCATAGAGCAAAAGGGACAATTTAGTAAGGCACGACACCGACTTCACGATCATGCACAAATAAAGGTGATAGCAAGAGGAGAACACTCGGCCAACATAGAAGATGAAGAGGAAGATATTAGAGAGGATTTCATAGAAGATGCTGAAGGAGATGTTAGTGAACATGATGAGCAAGATGAAGAGGAAAATATTTGGGAGGATTCTATAAACGAGTCTGAAGGAGGTGAGGATTTAAGGGAACAACCAGCAAGACAGGTAGCCAATAAAGTGGTAGACAAACCCAAAAAATATCGAGGGCAAACTAAATGTGAAAAAATTCATGCACGAAGTGTACATGAGCGACAAGTTATTTTTTTAAATGGGTTTGGACAACCTATCGGACTGTCAGATAAGGCATGCAGTGAACTTAACAGTTTCTTAGGCACACTTGGAAGAAACTCAAGTTTTGCACCTCTGGATGTGAAAAATTGGCACAAAGTTGAAGAAAAAGATAAAGAAAAAATATGGGATTATGTTAAGGTACGATTTTTATAATTAATCGCTAATTTCCTGTTGTTCTTTCCCTCTTATTTATATCAAGTATTTATGATCAAATAATTTTATTGTCAAATGATGTTAATGTAGGAAAAATATGACATTCCAGAGGAAGGAAAAAATGGACCTTAGAAACTGTCAATTGTGCATGGAGGCGCTGGAAATCCATATTGAAGAAGAAGTGTTTTGACGGGTTCAAAAATGACAAACAAAGACTAAAGACACGGCCAAATACTATACCTGAAATAGAATTTAAAGCCTTGCTCAAATTCTGGAACTCCGAACAATCAAAGGTCAATTATGCTTCACAACAAGCACTCTTCTCTATATTATCTGTTTCACGCATGTTTGCAGGAAGCTTGGTGGTATTATGATTAGTTAAGTTATAATAATAATTTTTGATTAGGTTCACTTCTAAATTCACTTCTTAATTAGTCCAATTGGTGCAGACCATTCTCTGCAGCTACATATTGTCTTATGTACCTGCAAATGTGATGCATATTATTATATGAACAGGTCCCAGTCTAATTCTGGACCTTATATGAGCTGATTGATATCGTCTGACGTGGATGATTACCGCTTTTGTAATTACTTATGTTCTTCGATCCTATTGGTTAGTTGATTGTTGCTTCCTGTAGTGTTCCCATTTGATAGTATGAAGATTGTCAATTTATTTTTCCTACCTCAATATAATTATGCTCATATAAATTTGTCACTAGTAGTCATTTGACCCATTAATGTCCTATTTGATGGTATAAGATTGTCAACATTAATATTTTCTAGAGAAATCCTGCAACTGATGAGCAAAATTTTTCGACTTGTAAGCTTTTGGATGAGGCTCACAATGGAGTTTCTTCAAAATTTTGGCGGGCATCTTAAACCAGCAGAGATACATTTTACCTTCACATTGCAAATTGTATCCATCCAGGTGCTTAACTGTTGGCACATTAGAATAGCTGAACGCAGTTATATATAATTTAATTTGCTTTTTTTCCCGTACGTGTGTGTTTTCACGTGTTGGTCTTGCATCCTGGAGATACGCAGCATGACCCATCTAATGAAATTTAGTTGTGCGGTGATTAATATTGTCAGTTCATAGTGAAGATCTCGTTACAAAGCCAACACCAAGCGTGTTCGTTGAACCGAGACCTCTTTTGTGTTTCTTATGAGGTATGCGGGTGGACTAAGCAATAGTTACATCATCCTTCAGTTCTAGTTTTCTGTTGTACGACGCGTTTTTCCCCCTTCTCCCTTTTCTGCAGGCCATGGCAAGACTTCCCAAGTTAATGAAGTTTACAGGGCAACTGTATAGCATTATTCTTTTCTTTAACAATCATGAAGTGTATCAGTGACACTTAGAAATTTTCTAGAGGTTTCGAACATTTTATAGCATCGAAGACTATCGAACGTCATGCGGGGCAGAATTCATAGTCTGTGGTCCTATGTAATATAGTGATCTCACTGTATTGACATTGATTTTGTTCCTTTTTGTGATTAGTGTTGACTATATTTTAATGTTCTCAAGTTCCCTTTACAGTTGATCAAGCAGCAAGCATGTATATTCTTCTGGGAAAGAAAACTTTTACAACCTGATTTTTCCTCAGGAACTCGATTATTTCTTTCGTCCCTGCATCTCCAAAGACAAGATCTTGCTCGAGTTGTCCAACATCCCTAAGTCCTAACTCTTTAATTATTTTGTTAATTTTTCCTGCAATCTGGATTCATACATATGGTGAACCAGACACAATGTTAGTATAAATTTATTTCTCACAGCTAGCTTGAGCAGCAATATACTATACTACACTGGGTGATAAGTGATAACAGTATAAATGTATTTTGTATATGTTGATTCTTTCTTCTATACTTTGAAAATATAAGCTGATAAAATCTATTGAAGCAGTGAAATAGACACGGAACAGCAGTGCTGCTAATGGTCTGGTTGTTTTTTAAATCCACGTTCCTTCTATATGTGTAGAAAACAAGTGAGACCAACAAAGCAAATCGTGAAGGTCTAGAATATATGCACACTACGGGGACAATAAGTTTTGCGAGGATTCGCCAAAAAATGGTATTTCAATTTTTTTTAATGTTCCTTATTAACAATATCCTTTCTTTTTTTTCGTTTTTAATGTATTTATCAATATTTTAACTATCATGTCTTTATTATAGGAAAATGAGTTGGGAAGACCACCAAGTGAAGCTGAAATGTTTATTGAGACCCGTAAAAAGAAGATAAATCCACAAGGAGAGAAAACAATCAATTTGATAGTAAGAATGTGCCATATTTCCTAAATATTAATATTCATATATTGCTTTTTAGGTCCTAATTTTCATATAACATGCATAGCAACTAAATATAAATTTTGCTAATGCAGGGTGCTTTAGAAGAACTCAAATCTCAAGATGAAGATGATGATGCATGGGATTTAGTCAAGAAAGATGAACATCCTGGACGTGTACGTCTTAGGGGGAGGGGTGTCACTAAAACCATGCTCCAGAATAAAAATAAAAAGATCATGGATCCCTCGGAGCAAGTTCCAGAATCTGTTGTTCAAACTATATCACAAAAAGTTGAGCAAGAGTTGACAAAAAAGTTTGAAGAGCAGAAGGCAGATTTGGTTCATGGTTTCGCTGAGCTTTTGACTGAAACACTTGGGCAAACAATTGATCCGGCGGCTATTGCAAGACTTATTGCACGCACAAGATCACCTGAGCAAGGTGGTAGTGCTCGAAATCATGATCATCCTCGCTCATCTGCAAGCAGCCATCAGCCACGAAATGAGGTAGTTTTTTCTTTTGTTATATCTTTCTTTTTCTTTTTTGTGTATTATGACAACTTTATCTAGTCAAACTTAGATTCAGCTCTACGTATGGAATTCTCAACTGATTGAATTAATGTATGTGAGTTCAGACCATCGTATCTCAGTACCATTCCCATCATCAAGTGCAAGCCCAAAACTTTAACAGCTATGAGCATTCCCCATTAGTTTCTTTCTAATTTCAACTTATCAATCCATCTAAGTCAGTATATTGTTATAACAGCTATGAGCATTCCCTTTTTCTCTCTCTATTATGCATCTGTGGTCTCTTGTGATTTAAAGCTACCTGTACTAATATTCTCACATATATACTGTACATACACTTATTCTGTCATATTGTTATACTAATAAAAATCTATATGGAGCTAGGTGGAGATCTAGATATGATATACAAGGCTTCAAACATTTCAGAAGACACTTTTGTGGATAAACTAACTTTTGCAATATTCTTTTGTCCATCACTATAACTAGGGCAACTGGGGTAGTTTATAACCCTCCTTAATCTTTTCTGTAAATGACTTGATAATTTCTATGTTGTAAATGACTTGAGAGATAGAGAATCATGTGATAATCATTAATTTGTTTCATGATTAGGTGTATTACAGTGCATTTCATTCTACTTGTGCTTACTCATCTTTTTATCTTGATGTACGCAGGAAAACATCTGAAGATCCATGCTTGTCGCTCTTTGGGGGATTTATTTGTTGTGAAGATGTAGAACTTAATCGTCTCAATAGAGACATTTTGACCTTTTGATTAAGTAGTAGCTCTTTGTTTTAATCATGGAGGATTTGTGATATGTGCTTAATTTGGTAAGTTTGTGTGTAAAACTTGTGAAGAATTATCTCAATCCTATTGCTATAATATTGTTCTTCGTTGTAATGAATTGTTCATTATATTAAGGCTAAAGTTTGGTTAGTTTGTGTGTAAAACTTGGACTATTGTTTCTTTGTATGTGATGGACTGATGTGTGATATCTGAGTGATTTGTTTTGATCAGTAAAAAATGAAAACCGTCCCCTTTGGTATAAAAATCATCCTCATAGATCACAAGCAAAACCGTTCCCATAGACAATATAACTGTCCTCTTAGGTCAAGCTCGAAACCGTCCCCCTTGGTATAAAAACCGTCCCCATAAAAACCATTCCCCTTGCTATCAAATTGTTCCCATTGTTTAGAACCTAAAAACCGTTCCCCTTGCTATCAAACCGTTCCCGTTGCTTAGAACCTAAAAACCGTTCCCCTTGATATACAACCGTTCCACTTGCTCTAAACTAAGAACCAACCCCTTAGCACAACCGTTCCCTTATGGTACTATTGGGGACGGTTTACAAATCGTTGCACTAGGAGCATAAACCGTCCCATTAGACCTACGGGCACGGCTGCAAACGAGACGGATGTAGAACCGTCCCCATATAGACCTAGTGTGACGGTTTCCATGCCTAGGGTGACGGTTAAGAACCGTCCCCATAGGCCTCAAATGTGGTAGTGTGTGCCCGAGGGTGTGCATGTAGCGCCGCCCTTTTCTTTATTTGTTTTCTTCCTATTTTACTCAAGACTCTTGTTAACTTAACGGAGGAGATAATCATTTTAATTAAGGAGAACTAATAGAAAGAATATTATGATCCGGATCGCCGACTTAAAAATTTTTAACATAAAGAGCTTGTTGTTGTTTTTTAATTTGACCCTCGTGTTAAAGAGCTCGTATTACCCATCCGAGGCTATAACGCTTCAAAATACCCAATACCAGACAACCTCCACCTCCAACAAGAGTATTGAGTCTCCTCGCTGGCACTCCAAATAGAGTCAAAAAAACATTACGTGTTAGCAGCCGTTTCATAGCGGTCCCTACTTCCACAAAAAATTCCAATTTCATTATTAAATTCTCTACCCCTTTTTATTCTTCCCTCACAGCACTCTCCTCCTCCATCAAACAAGCTCTCTCTCTCTCTCTCTCTCTCTCTCTCTCTCTCTCTCTCTCTCTCTCCCCATCTCTCAACGCTCTCCTCCTCCATCCTCTCCATCAAACAAACTCTAGATCTGCCCATCCATCTGACCTCAATGGAGAACAAACGCAACTCCTCGATTAATTCCAAGAAAGCCCAGCAACAATCTCCTAAACTGGAAACGATGAAGAGCGAACCCAATCCTTCCTATCCTCAGCAGACCCAAAAAGCTCAAAAATCGCTCATTCGGAAGTTAGAAGCAGCTGAAAGCAAGCCCAACATGTCCGAACGTGGGAATCCACTCCTTATACCAAAGTTAGAAGTAACCGAGGATGAGCCCGACTTTGCCAATGCCAGGCAAACCCACAAAGCCAGATCTTCTCAAACAATAGAAAGCTCCGATCCTCTCAACCCACAAAGCCAGATCTTTCGTTGCAAGGAGTGCATCGCTAAGTTCACGAACGCTAAATCCTTGGCTGGGCACATGGGCTCTCACGCAAAGGCCAGGATTTTTCAGGCAAGGCTTCAAGAGAAGCTGAGAGTTCTCAAGAGGTCTAAGCTCGAGACGGAGGCTGCGGAGATGGAAAGAACAAGAGAGGAGATGGCAAAAGCGAGAGAGGAGGTTAGAGAGGAGGTTGGAGAGAATGATGAGACCCAGAGTGATGATGGGAGTGGCGAAGTATTGATCACCAGTAGCTACCGTGTTGCCGAAGATGGAAAAATTGTTATTGACGAGGATGATGACGACGACATCTAGATATGTAGCTTTGGTTTGTTGATCTTGGTTGTTGTTTTTTTTTTTTTTTTTTTCATTTCTTTGGTTATGTTTTATCCTCGTTTTGTTTTTTTTTTTTTTTTTTTTTCATTTCTTTGGTTATGTTTTATCCTCTAGGGTTTCTTGATGTTTTGTTTGCATGTTAGACTGTGATGTTTTATGGGGTTAAAGGTTAATGGAGTGGGTGTGTGTTTTTGTAATGCCTATGTGAATAAAGCTTAAGGTGGTCATGTATCTTTGGTTCATAAATTGATGCTTCGGACATTAGGGTTTCTGGATAAAATCTCTTATCTGAATGTTAACTTTGTCACACCTAATTTTATGCTAGCTTGTTTAAAGTCTCCATCGCTTTACTCCCAAAAGGATTTATAACAAAAATTTAGAGAGATTTGAACAAGCTTAACTGATGGTTTACATGTTAGGATTCTTCTGTGATGTTTCTATATATATATGGTGATTGAGGTTGGGTGTGTTTGTGTACAAGCTATGTCATGCATTGAGAATAAAGCTTAAGGTGGTCTGTCTTTTGTTCGTAATGATGTTTCCAAGATTAGGGTTTCAGGATAAAATCTCATATCTGAATGCAGTTAATATTAATGCATTTTGTAACACTACTAAAATTGACTCATTTTATTCTTGTCTAAACTATCCACCGCTTTTCTCCCCAGCACATCCAAAAAAGTAAATAAAAAAATATAATAACAGAAGGTTTAATGATTGCGATAACAGACATTAGCTTGTAAACAAAAGAAATTACAAATCTGAAAAGGATCAATTGTAGAAACATATAGTAAGGTAAACTTGAACTCAAACACTATTAGCTTGTCAATGAAAGATAAATATAAAGAAGAGATCCGAATAGGATTAATTCAAGAAAGTACTTCAAATGAAAAATAATATTTACTGATCTGATAAATTAGTCCATCCATGTTATAGCACAACAATAAAGAGGGGAGGATATGATTTAATTTGCACATATTCTTGTTCAAAAAGAGAATGTGTATCTGCAAAAATTTAAACTAGAACAACAATATTTAGGGATAATTAAGTTTTAACTTCCGGATTGATCTCAGTGTTAATTTAGACTTTAGATAACTATGCTCTTTAGATTTCATATACGCACATTGTTGCAATTAGGGTAGGCATCAAATGTTCTACAAACATAAGAAACAAGAATAATTAGCGATAATTAATAATGGAAAACTTAAGAGGTGTAGCTACTATGAACATCTTTTGCATGTGAAGGAAAGGATAAGCCCTAACAAACCCTCATTACTATCGTTCAAGAAACAAAAAGGATTGTAACAGATGTTCAGAGGTCCCAGCTCATGGTTTTGGACCCTAGTGCCTCCTCCCTCTTTGCACACAAGTTTCTGTCGCTTCTCAGTAGCTCTTCTTTCTTTCGAACAAGGTCTCTCTCTCTCTCTCTCTCTCTCTCTCTCTCTCTCTCTCTCATCAATGGAGTCGGTGAACCTGATCTCACAAAAACCATCACGAGCAAAGCTTCCTATCAGAAGGAAGAAGAGTAGCCAGCAGCCAGAGCCCCTGACCACACCTCCAGTTGCTAAACCTGAGGCTGCTACGGTTCACGAGGTTCAAGAAGAAGGATCAAGCATGGTTGTGATGGGTGTTGATGAGCTTAAAAAGGAAGGATCAAGTGATGTTGTGGTGGTGTGTGATGAAGTTCAAAAAGAAGGATCGACCAAGGTTTTGTTCATTGATGATGAGGTTGGGAAAGAAGGATCAAAGGCTGCTGATCCTTTAACTGCAAAGCCGGTGATCCCTGACATCAACCTTCCTGCTGCTGAGGAGATGGAGGCGGTTTATCCACTGCCAGATCTTAACCAGCGCAGTGCTGAAAGCTTGGAGGATAGTGACATAGAGATTGATCTATTGGATTCCATGTTATTTGATCTTGATCATGAGACAAACGAGATAGATGATGCCGATGATGCCAGTGGGGATCTAGATCTCAACCTGTAGTAGGCGGCAAATGAACTCTTATTGTGTGATGTAATAGTAACTGTGTCTGACTTCTTATGTGTTTGATCAATAGTTTCAGCTTTGTTAGCAGGCCATATTTTTTAAATCTTTGTTTTGAGATTATTTTCTTAGACTCCTATTCAAGTCATGGCAAGCGTTAATTAACTGATTAGTCTATCTACATCTATGAATATGAATTTGAAGAGAGAAGCGGTGAGCAAAAGGTTCGCCGATATGGAATGT